TAGTACCATATCTGATTTTATACTGAAGCTGTCATTTGGATGCTAATGTTCATTGTTTAGTCAATAGGTCAAGCTGAAGTTACTCAGTTAGACACCCTCGTTACGTGGTATACTATACTGTTACGTCCGCATGTTTAAGTTAGTTAGGCAAGCATTGATCGTATTCTGGAGGATCTAAATAATGTTCTGGTTTGGCTGACTACCACTTCTCAGATTCACATGCATTTATAAAACAGTCCCTTTTTTATTCCACAGCCAGTCTCAAGAGTTTTGCTGTTGTTAATTCATACAAAATGTCACAGAAAATGTGACCAACTTTGTTATTGATTTACATATTAGTGATAGCAGATGAACTCTATTACATTTCGCAAGAGTGACTACTTTAATTACACTTTAGCACTTCTTCAGAAACGAACTACATTGGAAGGAAAGGAACGTTCATTGTCCACTTATACTGCATAAATTTATATTTCTAAATTTCAGGTGAATTCCATCTTTTAAAATTGTCTAATCAAGAGATATTACGAATGTCGTGAGATACCGAACTTCTACTTAATCTTATGCAACCGAAATAGGAAATTCTCACAGTTTATAAGTATTCTTCATATTTTTGTTTATTTAAAAACAAAAAGAAAGGGATTTGTAAGATGGTAGTACAGACTCCCACGAATTGGATTGATTATGGATGTTGACCCCTCTTCTTAATACTTATTCACTTTGGACAGTGTAAATAAAACTAGAATATTCCTTCAGTGATTTCTATCGTTCGTTTTAATTAATCTTTACTATCAAATTTATGTTGCATAATGGCAGAATTCGGACATGATATTTGTCCCCTAATGTAAATTTGTTCACGAACCAAATGTTACTTTTAATAGGTGGATGATGATTACAGGATGTAAAGTGAAAAGTCTAGGCCTGGGTTTTGCACTGAATGGCATCTGTCAGGCAAGGCTGTTACCCATTAGGAGATTGAACCTCCAGAATAGGGTGATGTGTTTGTGAGTATTATCCCTATGATATCTGAGCAGCAAATAACCTCCGAGAGGCCCAATTAGATGCAATTGTGTCGCCAATGTCAATATATTTAGTGCTGAATGCATTCTGTCAACCGAATTTAGAGTATGGTTACCAATGTAGGAAACTGCCTATTACAGTGCACTGTGAAATGATATTGAGTTTTTGGAGACAATTGTCAGAAATTATTGCATTAAATTTTATTGCTTATAGGTACGTTTGTAACTTTAAGAACACAGCCGTATACTTTAGCCCGTGTCACTAAGTGTTGCAGACATTACAAATATCTGCCAGCGTGGTGGTAATGTCTCTAACTGGAACTGTCTCTGTCTATCTGGATTCAACATAGAACTTGCCACCGAAGTTCAGCAGTTCCAGTTGCCACGTTCCAAATAGCACACAAAGGTAGACAAGAAGATGAGTGAAGAGAATCAATAGAGTTTGACAAGTATAAGAGTGAAACAGAATGGGTAATGGTAGAAAGGAATATGAAAGATTACAGAGACTGAATACATCTGCGCTGGCCATTGACAACGATTTTGAGCCATGTGACCTATTGTCTCCAGCCATTGATTCTTAGAGTCTTAAGGGCCCCAAGCCGGAAGTCTGCATCTCCCTACCTGACTAACTGGAACACGTTTATGAATCCTAATATAGTAGTAATGTTGCTTAACTCCTAGCTTTATGCTTCACAAAACAACACCTGTTTTGTCAAGTGGGTAAATGTACCTATGTTCTGATATCGTGAGTTGCTTAGAGTGTCGTTCTTGGAACTTTCTGCTTCAACTACCGATGTTATTTCTAAATATACCTGTAATAAATTAATTAAATCATTTTTCATTAAACTACCATCTTAAAATCGGATAAAAATGCGTAATCTTGAGATCATACATACATACATCAAGTAATTATGTCTACTGACAACGACAGGAAAGTATACAATCTAAAAGTATACACCTATTTTTAAAACAGGAAACATGATCACCTTTCTTTAAATCTGAATATTAGGAGATAAAAACTTATTTCAAAATAAGGCTGATTTATTGCGCAGTATAGGGGGGTGGCAATGCGTAAAATTGGATAACGGTTGAGATATTATCGGTCAGTTAAAATTTTTGAATATTCATACATTTGGTTCACTTCATAAATTTTGATAGAGAAAGAAAGACCAGATTTGCAGTATAATGTCTTCTCTACTACCTTTCAAACAATGAAGTATGAAATGTTATTATTTATAACCATTGTTATTTCAGGTAGTTTGCAGCTGATGAGAACCTGTGAAATAGAATGATATGATTTTATACTGCAAATCTGGTCTTTCTTTCTCTATCAAAATTTTTCGAATAGCTATCAAGAGTGATGAATATGGAAAACTGCCAATGATCGTATATGGCCATTTAACGCCTATTTTTCTTGACAGTTTTTTTCTTATAACGCAATCCTTACACAATTTAAATCCACTAGTCTTCACAGCCTCAGATGTATTTTGATTAATCTTTATTATACCAAAATATTTCGATATAGATGGTGTTATATTCTGATTCCCCTTTTGGAGATGACTGACGGGATGAATGTACATAAAAAATAATTATCTATAACCACGATTGTACAGTTATGTAAATGAAATGACCTGCAGGGAATCGACCAATATACAGTTACATTACAGAATGAGGTCAGTCAAAGAACCACTGATGACCAGACAGTTCCGGACAGCCATTTTTTTCATTTCGGGAAGCTTAAGCAGGATATGTCCAAGACCCAATGGACGATCAAACCCTAGAGTTTAAGGTTACGAGGCAGGTCTACTTACCGTCCAGCTATTGGAATGGAATCAGATAACCCGTGAACTCATTGGGTTCTGAGTGTTTTTTTAACTGACATCTACTCGAGAAACTTGAAGCCATTCAAATTCCTGCAAAGCAAAAGTTCGAAATTAATCTAACGCTCGACCCTAACTGACTGTGGGATGAATTTCCTAAAAGTCCGAGCTAGAAGTCATGACCAGTAGAGGTCACTAAGTTGAGTGTGAGATGAATACTCGCCGACAACATCGGCTGGCTTTTGTGTCATATGTTACAAACTGTCAAAAGCTAGAATTCATGAGGCAGTCATTGGTTGCCAACCCAGTGTCTGAATGACCAGCAAGCTCGCCTCCAAAAGTGAAGGTTCTAAGTTCGATGCACTGTAGCGTCATGTGTGCGTACCACTGACAAGTCATAAACTATAACGGAATAGCCATCTGGTGCTTCCCGATCTTCTGTGACTCTCTGACTCATGTCTGCTTTCCAATGAAATTGAAAATGTCTTGTATTTGAAACAGGTAAAAATTACGATGGAAACGGGAAAATAACACCTAATTTAACGGTTGGGGATATTTCTCAATAGCTTCAACATGTGAATTTTAAAAATGCAATGAAGCTGTTATTTAGCTGAAAACTTGTGACTAAATTCACTCTGAAAGATACTTTGAATGTTAAAATTTTACAACACAGCATTCATTCTAACTTCACAAAACAAACCGATTAAAAATACATGTCAGCATGATAGACTCTAAAATACTATCTAATTCACACGTAATTCAATTTTTCTGTTAAATTTAATCCATAGATTAAATTATGTTTAATGGCATTACGCGCTGACTTATGTATACCAATCAACTACTCGTCTGGTATTTCAAACTAATTACACCTTAATCGCTAGTTGTCTTCAAATTTAGTGAAATAATACAGGAATGAACCCTAAAAATATGTACTACGATTATATCACGTATCTAAATTCCTACAAGATACTTTGAGTCCCGGAAGAAAACAACTGATGGGACGTTCAAATGCACCAGACAGAAAATATCACGTCTACAAAGGTGAGCGAAATTAGTTTCATGTGAAATCTATCATCAAAACACAGGTCAGATAAGATATATTCCTTCAATGACTTCTCATCAAAGCAGCAAAGTTAAATACTGTTTATTAAAAGCTACAGACAGTAGGTCAATAGACATCAAATACTATTTATAGTTGGTAACATAACATAATGAATTATACATCAGGAAGGAAAATGGCGAATTATGAAACTTAATCTCACGTAATCTGAAAACATTAGCTGATAAATTGTATTCATAAATGGTTATTATTAGAATTGTGAGCACTTGAAATGTATTTGACAAAGCCAACCCATTCTTAAGGTTGTGTACGACAGGAAATCTTACTTCAAACAAGGGAAACTCTAAACTCTGTATACTGAATAGATTCATACAATTCCCATTGGTTTATTCTACATGGCCTTACGGAAACAATATTTAACTGTGTAGCCTTGATGAGAAGTTATGGACAGAAATTTCCTTACAGATGAATAGCTTTTTATATCACATGGGCATTTTCCATAATTTAGCATTTGGTATTGACTCACACTGTTTAAGTTAACTAGTTAAGCTGAAGGTATACGGGCAAGAGCCCCACTATTTAGCACACAATAAATTTGACATTTGATCACTACAATCTAGAAAAATTGTTTGGAATTTTGCTAAATGTAGTGAATAACTCATCTGTAAGACGCCAACGAGTAGTCGGTCACATTCATCCAATGAAGTATGCCTCAGAATTATTAAAAACCCTACGTTTATAGGTGAAAACTCAAACCCCGTGAATAAAGGCATACAGATAGATGTCTTAATGAATTGTTGTTGACGTTTTGTGGCCAGTAAATCAAATCATGAAGACTGAAAGTTATATATATATATATATTATATATATATATATATATATATATATATATAGAAAATCAAAAGTCAGAATTTATTCGAAATTGTTTTACTGGATAATTCGCAACCGGTATTATTTGATTAAGAAAACAATATTGTACAATGCAAACATCAAGTAGAACTAAGTAATTGTTTACTTTTAATTGACTTGAATAGAAGGAAATATAAGTCAATAAGTATGCATCTCTCTCTCTCTCTCTCTCTCTATATATATATATATATATATATATATATATATATATATATATATCAAAAAAGGTATTAGACTATCTGATATTGTCGGCATATAAAGTGGTGAACGTTTAGGGCATACGTTTATTTCACTTTATTCTTGTCTGCTGTCGTCAGACACCACAAATGTTCTTTTTCTCTTCATTATTTATCACGCACACGTGCTAAATATGCAATGAAATAAAAGTAAAATTAAGTAATTTTATTTATTTATCAGTGAACAATAATGCTTTAAACCTAAATGATAATATTAGCAATGTACCAACGCAGTAAAGAGTGACATTTTGGACATAGATTACTATCCAAAACATTTTTATAAGATAAATTCTCTACGAGATCAGGAGAAGCAGTGTTGTATGATAATTCTGGCAGTCGGGATCTGGAAAGCAAGACAGGCACTGATTACTCCGAAATCGCTGTGAAGATCTTCAGCACTTACTCAGTAGAATGAACAAAATACAAATTCTTAGTACTAATCTGAAGTCATCGCTTCTATACGGTACAGCACCTTGGCGCGTGTATCACCGAAAGTGTTTCTAGCTGGCTGCAGATTTCCAATAACAGATACCTTCGCTTAACACTGAAGATTAGATGACCATCAAGAACAAGTGAAAAAAAACTCTATCAGAGAACCAGTCGACAATCTGCCACTCTACAAATATGCAGAAGGAAATAGAGGTGGATTGAATATAAGCTGAAAATGTTACTGGGTGACATTATACACCAACCACGGCCTCTAGTGTAAATCGAGTGGGAGGCTAGCGACGACTCGGGCATTTATGAGTGACACGAAGAAGATCATGTGGAGAGAGAATGAAAGCTTATGGGCAGTGGTGGAAGCAGGTGAAAGTGATGGTGGGAAACCGGTCGTTATGTACATGTGCCACTGTAGCACTATGTCCCACTCGACATAAAAAGGAATGGATAGTAACAAATAATTGTAATTTTAGGCGGTTTTAAGGTTCTAATGTGATAAAGCTTGGCAAGTAACAATAAATATTGCATTTAAAACACTATAGTTATGATGTTATGCTACTTGTATACACTTGTTTCCTTAGCAATAACCTACATTCTTCAAGACCAATAGTTATTAAACAAACTAGGGAGACAAATTCTCACCTACAGGGTTTTAGAGATTTGTTATGCAGAATAAGCACAAGTCTTGTCCATGTCCAGATGATCTACTGTGATGTCTGTTCCACAGTAGTAAACCTGTTTGCTTGTGCGTCGGTGGCACAGAGGTTAGGATGCTCGCCGACCATGCATATAGTCTCGGGTTCGATCCCCAGCCGACGCACATCTGATATCAGTGGTCGGCCTTCTAAATTTGGGCTACCTATATCATATGCTGAAAATTCCATAGTTGTACCAAAATACCGTGTGGAGTCAAGCTATAATCAAAATTTCTTTTAAAAATAAAAAAAAAATTAAATTTAATCATTAGCATCTCTGAAACAAAATGTGTCCTACTCACGTCTCAAAATGCAAACAGCGCTATCATATTAGTATAAGTCTCCAAAATTTATCAACAAAAATTTACATCACTCACTGGAACATCCCGGAAAAAGTCATTGTAATCAATAGCATATCCAACGACAAAGAGATTCGGAATTTCAAAACCGACAACTACACAAAATAAAGTACATAGATTTGTGTTGAATTTATCTTATATCCTCACAGAAGCAGTTAAATTTCTTCATTAAAATGTTTACTGATCAACAGAGTTTAAAACAACGTTGAAGCTCAGTAATCTGACAAAGATTTTCCTGTACCACTGTTAATCATATTGATTATCCAGGGCAATCTAACTAAGCAGTCAAATAAAATCAACTTCAGTCCATGGTTCAACAGTTAGAAGGTGAATATATAAACTGCAGCTACACCTAGTATCTCTAGCAACACAGTATTTCAGTACGACCAAAAATGTTACGATAACTGAATGTAACTTCTAAATAATAAGTAGATCACAGCTACATTCTGCATAATTCTTCATTTACAACTAGGTAATCCTTTGGACTCCAGAATATCTGCAGAGTCCAACAAGATTTCCCTATTCAAAGGTCAAATAAGTACAGGATATTTAAAGGTATAAAAATCATGTGCTTCTTTAAGATATCTTCACGCCTGTTTTCATTAAATATGCTAACCCGACACAGAATATGGTTTTTTGAGATTCTCAAGCATAAAAGGTGAATATATCTTGCAGGCTTCTTAGGTGTAAGATGACCCCACAGAACTAATCTGAATCCCCCACTAAGTTATGAACGGGGAGTGTATTAGTCGAATATGTTGACCTACCTTTTTGAACTGGCTGGTGACCAGATCATGGCACGCACATACTTACACAGAAAACTCATCTAAAATTCAGCAAACTGTACGAAGATTTTCGCCTGCTTATCAAAAGATGTATTCACTGTTGACGTTAAGTGGAAAACATTTTAAGCACTGTTGAGACTAAAAGAAGTGCTAGTCAAATTTAGTTAGTAATTTGATGTATCTATGGAACCTCTTAAAATAAGTCACCTAGAATACATGGTACATTCGCTTAGCAACCGTTTCAATCGATTAGAAGTCTAGCTAAAGTTGGATTAGGCTTCAAAATGTAGAGGTATCCATCTCAACTACTAATGTCAGTGAACGTTGATCTGAGCCATTGCGGGGTAAATGGATTGTCTGATTTGGATCATTAAGCTGCTAAATGTTAATGGCTGGAGAATTTTTACTGGCTGGTTTGAAAACGTTCACAGTGGTTCCTACTAAACTCTTGTAGCAATGAATCACTAGTCATCATCTTACAGGATTCCTAAATTTAAACGAAATTAATATAGAAGTGAATTGGTGGATGGTGACTAGCAGTGGAATCCAGGATGCTTAAATCATCCTATTTGGGACTCGTCATCTGGATGTATCTACATTCCGCAGTGAGTGATGGTGTTCCCTGCAAGTCCTTATCTACTTAAAAAGCCATCTCATAATTAAAAAGTTCATTCATACAAATCTGGAAAATTTTACTTACAATCTGGTTGAAATCCCGAGCAATCTGGTCTACGTTTTACCAATAAACTGTAAAAAATATACATTGGGAAATAAACTTAGGAGATGATACAGAATTCAATGCATATTTTAGGATCTCCTAATCACTTAGCATTTAGAGGCTGGCGGTATTGACGTTCACGGATATTACGAAGTATACTAACACAAGATCTAATACCCACAACTTCTATAGTATTCGTTCTGCGTAGACCAAAGGTAAAGCAAAACACCACAGTTGATCGTCCAAATTATGAGACCAAATTGGAGTGCGAGATGATTGCTTAGCTAGCTAGGGATTGTACACGAACGAACAAACGTGACACGACGGCGTACCAAATGGCTTGGATGCTTGACCAGAAGCCTTCATCTAAACAAGTTGACTTAAACAGTGAGGGTCAGCATCCAATGTTCAGTGATGAATGCTATGGTCAGTAATTATGGGGAATTATTTACCGCTACAAGCACTTGGAGGTACGAAAAATCTCCCCAACAAAGAAACAATCGAATAATTTAATACATGAGAACTCGCAAAGAGGTGTCACGCAAATGAACACATAAGAGGCGAATAGTAAAGTGGACATCTCTAACAATTATAGCAGGTATTCTTGAATAAGTTTAGAATATGTAAATATGATAACATATGGAGACGTCGGGCATTTGATAAAACAAAATTAATCGCAGTTAACTAAAACCATCTTATTTTTGATTTTTATTAAATGCAAAAAACACACTATGTGTGAAAATTAGAAATTGTTGGCGTTCAGTTCAGTAGGCGATGCAAAATAATTCGTGTTAGCTTTAAAGCAGAGTATTTTTACTAAGTTAGGAGAAAGTGGTTCGACAGATACGGTATACTCAATTAGTAACACAGATCGTCCTGGGTTAGCAAATAGCTCTATGTCCGCAAGTTGAATGAAAGTGTTAGTTGTTATACTGATTTCATTTCAAGAAACCTAATATATATGAGCCAAACACCCATCTCCAGATTATGGTCACAAATGTTGTTTGGTTGCTATTCAAAAATTCTGATTCTACTGTAGGGCTTCAAGTGATATTAAAGACAGTCATAAATAAGTGGTGTATTTGTTTAACCCTTTTTGATTTTACTTTAACTTATCTTATACAGTATGCAATAGAATCCAGTGCTTGCATATATTCGCCTTGTGTCTCCGTAAATTCAGTCATTAAAAGCAGATTCACTTCCACTTGACCGATAAAATGTCTACATTCCCCAATGACATAAAAGTATTTTGCCGGGAGAAAAGCCCGTACTATCCGAGAAGTTCTCCTTAAATATATGCTTTGTTTGGGAACCTATCCGATAATCATTTTTGAATCCTCTTATTGAAAATTGTAAGCTGTTACCCATCATAATGTGACACCAATTAATATAACAGTATTTTCTTAGTTACCTGTGGAATCTTATGACTGAGTTAAATGAACCAAATACTTAGTTAAATTCGTCCCCATGTACAAGATAGAGATATATACATAGCAGGCAAGCACAACGTTCTGTACTAAACTGACATGAAATTGGTAAAGTTTGTGATCACTAAAAATCGCCATGGCGTCAGTTTCTTCACTAGAAAAAATCTTTCCTAGAAACAACAGTTGACAGCTAGTTTCGACAATCACAGTATGCTGATTAAAACACCATGACTTTGGACATTTGGTATCCAGGCTGGTTTTAAACCCTGCAGATCACTAAAACTGAGAGTTATGACCCAAATTATAAAAAAAGATTTTGAGTAAATCCTTTTAGATTGAAATTGTAAAGTGTGATGATAAAATTGAGAATAAGTTTTAAGAAGTACAAATAATGAATTAAAACATCTAAGACCCAGCCAATGAAGAAAATAATAGTTTACTTTAGATTGCAATGTATACATCAAATAATTGACTAGTGCGACAAAACAGAATAGTCCACGTAGGATACAGAAATATACAGCGAAAGCTCAGCCAGACTCTTGGTAACAAATAGACCGATAGTAGAAAAAACGAACGGCGAAAAGGAGGCTGGTGGGCGGGATTATGAACATTATGAAAATATTGTGCCGGAAATACTACATAAGGGCCACTGGGAAACCAGAAGACGTATGTTGACTTCACTGAAATTAAATGGTAAAAAGATATGTTGCAGACGAAATATTTACTAAAGTCATCGTATCAAGTCATAAGAAGTGATCGGGAAGATTTCGAGTAATAAAATTTATATGACATTTAAAATAAATAACACTGAAGAACGTCTAACTTACCACGCTACATGAACAGAACGTGGCTGAAAGGATTCAACATAAGCTACTAGCTTGTTCAATGTTTTTCCAGTGACAACTAGGTCTTCAACTATTAGAACATCCTGCGATCAATCCTGATAGTTTTACACATAATTACCTTGTTTTTCAGAGATGATAAGTCACTGTATGAATTGAAACATGTTTTGTCAACGGCATTATCATTCTGAAATAACAATTAGTATGTCACTTACAACACATTTGTTGGCAACAACAAAGTCCATAATGATAGGAATGTTCCGATTCCTCCTAAATGCATTATTGTGCATTTCTTCGCTCAAGTCCGACGCAAATTTGAATCCGCCTTTAAGAACACACAACAGATTGATAGACGATGCGTCATTTGATTCGAAATGCTCTAAAATATCAACTGACATTTTGTCAATTCTTGAAGTGTTATTCTTTTGTTATACTTTAGCATACCTGTCCCTGATCATGCCGTTAGGCACAATTACACTCTCTATATACTTTTTGTACTTATCGGAGAGACTGAAGTTTTTCGCTGAATAGCCTGCAAAGTTATCATTTAACTAAAAATAATGTGCATGGTTTCACTAGCTCACGATTACACAGTTCTTCTTATAGGAGCGACCTTGCATTTCGTAGATTCAAGTTTGTTCGCTTAATGTCACTGCTAAAGTGAAATGAATAAGTCATTTTAAACAAATTCATCTTTACAATGGATGCTCGGTGAAAATTGTACATAAAATTAAAGCATATGGTATTTAAAACCGAAATAAAGAAATTCTGAAGAACAGCAATAGCAGGAAAACAGACATATCAATCGCCTTCATACGGCATCTCAATGTAGTTGAAGATTGAACGATCAATTCATGGTGGGGGGATGAATGTCAGGCGTGCAGTATCACAGTTTCTAAAACTGATTCAGCGTTTGAATGCAATTTTTGCAAACGATGGGTGCACTGCCGTTGTGACAAAGTGATACCGAAAGCATACTATGAGTTTATGAGAAATAACCCATGCCCATGGTTTTGGTACGTGTGTCCACTTTGTCGCCCTGGCATAGTCCCACAAAGCGTGTCTGCGGATAGCAGAAACAACACGCTCTTGTGCCCCAACACAGTCCCATGCAGCTCCCCCTGCTAAAATCGCACTGCCAAAACTGGTCAAAGACTTAAAGAAGGACACACCAGCCCTACTGACTGGAAATGCCAATTTTCACAAGGTGAAGATTAGCAAGGTTCCATCCACATCAGGGGAAGGCAAAATTACAAAGGCACCACTTGCATCCACTAGCAAGCCTGGCAACACAAAAAAGGCTGTCCAGGTACCGATGAAGCCTAATGTTGCTAATGATGCAAAGGACTGCAAGAAGCCGAAGGCCAAACCTAAGTCTGAGGGTAGTCGGTCTAACTCTCTCATCCTCTTTAACGTACCTGTGAGCACGGATAGCTTGCTCGAACAACGGGCCCTGTTTGATCAGGAACAGTGGTCCAACCTGTGCAAACTAGGTCTGAACATTAGTTCAGCAAAACTGTGCAGACTGTACAGGGGTGTCCACACGCCTCAGGGTAAGCCACCCCCATTACGGGTTACACTGGACTCTGCCGAAGAGGCCGAAAAAGTACTGTTAATGGCTCAGGTACTAGCCCTGGACAGAAGTTCTAACATAAGGGCGCGGCAAGATAGACCATGGGCTATCAGAAATATGGCGAGGGAGTCACCGGAACTGATGCCTTCCACCTCTATGGTGGTACACGGTGTTCCGGAGCTGGAAACCGGCACTGCTTGTGAAAAACACATGCACGACGTACAACAATGGAGATGGCTGTCATCTCAGATGGCCCCTGGCGCTTCTGGAGCCATCTCCATTTTCCGACTACCTCGTCCCGCTCATCTAACATTGATTAACTCTCCAAAGCTGCTATGTGTCACATTCAACTCCCCGGAGCAGTTGTCCATATCACTTCAACGGTGGTATGAGACCAAGGGAAAAATTGGAGGACACATCCGATGCTGTGAAAGCAGACCCAGAAATATAAGGAGGCAGCAAACTGAGGCTTTAATACGACCCCAAGCTTCGGTGACACTAGAGCGATGCAGCTCTGAGAATAATAGTCTGTGTCTCCCAAGTGTCCTGCCTAAATCCATTGAAAAAAACTACAACGGGCCGGTTCTATCGGAATCGGCCAACTAGTTCCAACATCAAGTCCCCCACCAGCAGACGGTTTCACGTCAACTACCCCACAACACTCTGAGGTTGTTAGACTCACTGTCAGTTGCCTATATAGCAATGTGAGGGGGCTGAGAGGAAAAGTAGGTGAACTCCGAAATCTCCAAGCACACCTTCAACTGAAAATAATCATTCTCACTGAAACGTGGCTAAACCCCACTATCGCCGACAATGAAATCAGTATAGGTGATATGGTACTGGTCAGGAGAGACAGGGATAATAAGGAAGGAGGGGGAGTTGCTATATACTTTGATAGGCAACTTAAATGTGTGCGCGCAACGGACCCACCACTTATCGAACTCCCAGACTCCATATGGTGTCATTTCACCGTAGGCCACACCAAGCACTTACTGGGTGGCATCTACCGATCTCCCACCTGTGGGGCAGAGCACAATCAGCTACTGCTCAGCACTATCACAAGGATACGAGATTTGGGCTACGACCAAATCACCATAGCTGGAGATTTCAATGCTCCATCACTGAACCTCGGCTCCGGGTGTGCTAAGGGAAAATTTGGCCGAAACCTACTGCAAACTATTCGAAACACGGGACTGACTGAGAATGTTGGAGACGACACTAGGTGGGGCCCTAGTGGAAAGTCATCAAAACTAGATTATATTCTAACTAGTGACCAGCTACTCGTCGAAAAGGTCCAGATCATGACTCCTCTGGGAAGCAGTGACCATGCAGTCATAGGTTTCGATCTTGTCCTCCGTGAGCGTTTGCAATGGGATGTTACGCGACCATGTCTGTGCTACAGCAAGGCTGACTATGCTGAAATGCGGAGGCTCTTGTCCGACGCAGACTGGCCCTTAGCATGGGACGACCTATCTGTGGATGAACACTGGGAAGTGGTAAAAAAGATTATCCATAGCAATCTCGGATACCGTCCCTTTAGTCACAACACAGCCCAAGAGAAAGACGTCATGGTTGAAGAGAGGCACGCAACGTATTCTGCAAGCAAAGCGGAAGGCTTGGTTTACGTGGCGTGTATCTAAGAGTCAGACCGACCATGATGCATACCTCGAACTCAGGAACCGGTGTAATGCAAGAGTCAGGAGAGACAGGAGGTCATTCCAGGCTAACCTTGCTAAAAAACTCCTATCAAACCCTAAAAACTTGTACCGATTCATGTCGGAAAGAAAACCGACAAACCAAGGGGCATGTGGCTACTCCCCAAATAAACCCCGCATTAGTACTAAGGAAGCTACAGCGACTCACACCTGGGAAGTCCCCAGGTTGTGACGACATCAGGCCATCTGTTCTGAAACAGTGCGCCGAAGCTCTCTGTAGACCCCTGTGCGATTTGTTCCAACACTCAATGGATTCGGGGACACTGCCAAGGGAGTGAAAAAGAGCCCTCCTTTCTCCAACCTTCAAAGGTGGGGACAGGCAAAACGCTACTAGTTACAGACCAGTAGCTCTACTCCCAGTGGTATCAAAAGTACTGGAAAGTATTATTGATGACCACATCAGGGAATATTTCGATAGGACTAATATACTAAATGAAGCCCAACATGGTTTCAGAAAAGGCAGATCCTGCGTTGCTAACCTACTGTCAGCTTGGGACGACTTGACATCATGCTGGGATATGAATGTGCCAGTCCATGTGATCTTCCTAGACTGTGAGAAGGCATTTGACACTGTTCACCATGACCTTCTCCTACATAAAATAAGCCAGGCAGGCATAGGTGAGCCACTTCTGTCATGGTTAAAGGACTACCTAGCCGACAGGCAATTTTGCACTAAGGTTAACCGAGTCCGATCATCTTGGCACAGATCATCATCAGGAGTGTCGCAGGGTTCTATCCTAGGACCACTGATGTTTTTGATTTTTATCAATGATCTACCACGCCATCTAAGCTGCCCGACTCTCCTATACGCTGACGACGTAAAAATATGGAGGGCGATAAAGTGTCCGGAGGACTCAGATAGACTGCGGAAAGACCTAAACCTACTGGAAGACTGGGCGGTGGCCAGTGGCATGACTTTCAACTTGAAAAAGTGCAAAGTAGTGAAGTTGCTCACCTGTAGGCTGCAGAATGCAAGTTACACCCTGTGCAATGAAAGCTTGTCCTGCACAACATCGGAACGCGACTGAGGTCTAGTTCTAACCGAAAAAGTGGACACAAGCGTAAATTACACAGGGGATGTAGCGAGGGCATATGCGGTCATACACTTTACGCATAGACAGTTAGGTGCACTCACTCCTGAGATCTTTCTAATGTTGTACAAAACATACGTCAGGCCACACCTTGAGGTGCATAATATTATTGCACCCCAATGCTGACAAGAGACGGCAATCTCTTGGAAAGAGTCCAACGACGGGCAACAAAAGGAGTGGTTGGTCTCCGAAACAAACCATATGATGAAAGGCTGAAGAAATTAGGCCTGTTCACACTTAGCTACCGTCGGGTTAGGGGGGATTTGATTACTGCCTACAAAATAACAAATGACCAGAATCACCGAAACAAAGGTGTTCTGCCATTGAGTAGGTATAGGCTTCCACGTGGAAATCCCAGAAGGATAGCTCACCAGAGGGCAAGGACCCGGGTGCGCTCCCACTTTTTTCGCTGCGGGTTTGCCGTCCCTGGAATTCCTTACCGGCGTATGTAGCTATGTCACCGTCTTCGGACGCCTTCAAGCGAAGGCTGGACAACCATGCAGCGACACCAGGACTGCATCCAAATCGCCTATCTCCTTAAAATCGCATATACCATTCAGGGTAGACAATTAAACTCGTCGTTTTACCTCTTTACATTCTCTCCCGTCTTACTCTCCTGACAGCTTATTAATATTATAATTACTATTATTATTATTACCGATATATATATGTATATACTATTCTTCAAACTTAATGAGCTGACTGTTGTTACGTTTCCTATATCCGTTTCTGTCTCTTGGTCTGAATAACTTCACTAATTATATCTATTATTATTGTTATCGTTATTACTATCTCTTTTCTCTTGTCGACGATACTGGAGGACTAACTGGCGAAAGGATCAACTCCAATCACAGTAGTAACAGTCCTAACATACCTCATACTACAAACCACATATAATTAATCCCAGCACTACTCCCTTTGGAGTCAACCAAAGCTACGACAGTCGGGTGGCGGGACAAGCTACGCAGAAGTTTACCAAAGATCAGGAACCTATACCTTACAATTAAGAAGCGAGCACAAAGAAATCAAATTGGTTTATACTAGCTCGTAAAAACGATATTGGATATTGGAATCGATATTTTAAATATGAAGAGGTTTCAACAGGCATTTACGCTAACAAACCTCATATGAGGGTTTTGTGGAAATCTGCAATGTTCACTGGTCATCGGGTCAGATTGTCTTTTTAGGTGGACAAATATTGCGGGACGCAAGCAGAAATTGCCTTGGAGAACAACGATCAGCAGAGGTGATGGAAATTAGAAAGACAACCA